CAAAATCAGTTAGTTAGTTATGTTAGTTACAAATATATTTAAACTAACATGACCTAACCTAACTTTACCTAACCGCCTCTCAAAATCAGTTTCAGCAGAAACCCAAAGAAAGCAGAAACTGATTTTGGAAGGCATTTAGGTGAAGTTAGGTTAGGTCAGGCCAGGTTAAATTGGTCAGAGGGAAGGTACAGAGATAACAGGAAAGTAGGTACAGAGACAACAGGAAAGTAGGTACAGAGATAACAGGAAATTAGGTACTGAGATAACAGGAAAGTACAAAAACTTGTTTCCAAATGCTTACATGTGTTGTATGTCAGCAGCTGTAATTTGGGGATATTTTTACTTCAGATCCTGTCCTTCTTAACTATCTAAAAGATTTATTGCCTTTAGTTCAACCTGGCTTGCAAGGGATTGCTATATAAAAATTTCTAAAATTAATTTCCTATAAATGTGAGAATGCTTATACACAGAGGTCTCAGTGAATAAGTGTCCAGAAAATTTTATATGATCATTATTTCAAATTAGCCGGTGAAAATTCACCAAAGATCATGAGAAGCCTGGCATATGCCTTCAGCTTCATTGTCAGTCTTGAGTCTTCTTCATCCTGGTCTACAGCTCTCCTTCTTCCTAAAAGTCCACAGAATATTGTTCAAAGCATTTCATTGTGTCAAAAAAAAGGAATCTCTTTACCAGATGGAACAAACCGACTCCTCATTCTAGACCACAATGCATCCAGCCAAGAATTCTTCCTTCTCCTAGCGTTTGGTCTCTTCTGTCCTGAATTTCTCTGTGGGTACAGGTCAATCAGGACTGTTCAACAAAACAAAACAAAAAAGTCAATAATCAGAGTTGATGAATGAATCAAAATGTCACTACTTTGACTGGTTCTTTTGATGGTTTCCCTTCTGAAGGTCATTGTTGACAAATCATCTGCAGAGAGATCAGGCTTTGTGGCAGAAGATGTTTTGAGGTCAGGTATCAGTTGAGCATCTGTGGGGAAATGCAATTCTATCAAGTCCTTCTGATGTACAGTTTTGCAGAACGATGACCTTTGGCACCCATCAGAATGATCTGGCCAAGAGTGGAATGTGGGCCTACCACAATGCTCACCATCTTCCCCTCTCCTTCTATCACATGACTTCCTGTAAATAGAGTAGAATAAAGTACTGTATATGATTATTTCTTAGCCTGCATCCTATTTGGTCAAAACTATTTTTTTTTTACAAAATAATGAAGACAATGTACTGTATTGTGAATGTTTGAAATTACAGTACATAGCATCACTGTGAGGAATAAGGTTTACTTTTTGAACTGCAGCTTTTTTTACTTGGATTCTAGTTCAAATGCCAATAACCAATTCTATCATGTTGGATCAGAGATCTGACTGTCATTATCTAATGCAATTGAAATCATTGACAAATGGATAAAAGCTGGAGTTACTTGTTGTCATTGCTCCCACAGTAGTTGAGAAGTGAAAACCAAAGAACTGGGTCACCAAAATATCTTATAAATCTGTGAATGTCTTTTTCAGTGTTTTACATCAAATTAACTACCTGAAAAGATGATTGGATCATCTTTTGGTGTTTTGGCAATCAGGTGGGTTTCCCCAGTGAGAACTGACTCCTCCACTTTGAGGTTGAATCCTTTGAGAAGTATCCCATCAACTGGGACCACATTCCCCACACCAAGCTGTGCTTTGAAATTTTCAATGCACTTTTTTAGTCATGGCAGTTCAGATTGAAGTGAAAAGGGGGTTTCTGACCTCAACAATGTCTCCAACAACCAGGTCTTGACACCTGAGTGACTCCTTGGCTGCATTTCTTCTGACAAAGATGCTCCTCTCATTTTCTGATTGACTGAGTAACGTTATGAACCGAATTTGCTTTGTATACTCTGAGTAGGCTGTGAGGATCACTACCAATGCCACACTGCACAGCACACTGACAGTGTCAACCCACCCTGTGCTGTATCCTGTGGTGAAATATTAAATTTATATGTGAGAACATTTTCTCTGCAATGTGCTAAAAATGAGGGATGTCATCTTTGAGCAAATTTTGCTCAAAGAGATTGAGGAAATGATATACCAGCACAGTGTGCAATCAGAGTACTTCATATTTGGTTATACAGTATTCAAATGATCAAATTACATGGTGTAACAGTATTTAATTCATATTTCCAACATTTGGTTATACAGTATTCAAATGATCAAATTACATGGTGTAACAGTATTTAATTCATATTTCCAACATTGTTCAATGAGTCATTATCAATTTGGAAATGGTTAATTTTTGTTGTTTATTCACCTGTAATTTAATGTACTGTGTATTGGATTTTTCATGGATTGTACAATTCTATAAAAAATTGGAACTTGATTTAAAAATTTAATTGACAAAATCCAGAAAATGTGTACAACAGATCAAGATGTCTGTGATGATGAAATGGGATGTCAAATCTTCATTGGGGGCCTGTTTTATTTCTTTTGTTTGTGGTGGAATTCATTTTTCCATTGATCAAAGTACTTTTCAGATATGTCTTAATACCATGCTTTTTATAGAAGCGTGCCTTGTATATGGTATGGTTTAGAATGAGAGGGTTTCATTCTAACCAGATTTTCATTAAAATTTTTGTTAGCAAATATTTTATTATGTAACTCCAACAACTTATTGAAAACTACTTTGATTGTTCAAAATGATAATTTGGTTTCAATGATGTAGGGCATTCTCACCAGAACTGCCCGCAGGCGGAGTTGGTAGCAGGAAAAGCAGGACAATGTACAGCACAAGTGAAACTATGCTGCTAGTGATGAGAATGACCACAGTGAAGTCCTTCAGGGTCTCAAGTATGAGCCTCAAAAATGTCTTTGGTTTCTCTGTTGGCAACTCATTCTTTCCATATTCCTGCCTTCTTGACTGCAGATCCTCAAGATTCCCACTGAGTCCTGAGATTGGTTCACATTAGAATAAACAAAGTTATTTATCCTGTAGAGCCAGTTGATTTTAAAACATCATTAATTTTTTTCTGAGTACTTTTCAAATAATTTCTGGATTTATGAGCTGTTGGGTACTATACTGTACTGTAGTAGGTTGGATGTTGAAATGTGTATTGCTGATACCCCTGCTCCATGTGAAACCTTAAATGTGCAAAAGTTAATCCCACAAAAACATGTACAGGAATACAGTATTTAGCTCCAGATTTGGGAGCTCAATCAATCAATTTGCTGTAGTTGCCAAACCCATTCTCTGTATGGATAAACATTCTTACCATTTTCTGGGTGAGTTTCTAATGCAACACACAATCCCTCTGTCCCACCATACTGGTTTTTGAGGTGACTCAATGCATCTTGTTTGGACATCCTCATGATCCTGACCAGTTCACTGAGAGTAGGTTTGTCAGTCTGAGAATCTGCCCCTGAGGGATCAGTCATGGTGTAGGTATTGGATTAATGTATCATTGAAGGTCTTTGATTGTTCCCAGAATTTGGAGTACCAAGTTTGTCCTCATAGTTTTCCATGTTGCTATGAAAGTAATTGAAGTATTAACATGGGTACAAGCTGAGCAATTGGGAGCAGCATCTGACAAATCCTCAAAATGTAGTGGAGAGTGATCTCAGTAAAGCAGAAGCAGCCCCATTTAAGGTTTTGATTTAGTTTTATGCAGCAAAAGGGCCTTAAATGTATTATTGAGGATCTTTGGTCATTCTCAAAATTTGGAATATCAATGTTTTTCCTTACTATTCTTGATCTCTATGTTCTGAGAAGTTATTACAGTATTGAACAATCTACAAGCTGGGCACAGCAACCAAAAAATTCTTGCAAATCTGTAAAGAGTGTTCACAGTAAAGCAGATTCACCCACATTTGAGGTGTTCATTTAGTTTTATAACTGCAGTACTGTCAATAACTTCAATGAATTATTGAGGATCTCTGGTCATTCTCAAAATTTGGAGTACAGTATCAATGTTTTTCCTCAGTGTTCTTATTGATCTCTATGTTGTGAGAAGTAATTACAGTATTGAACAATGTACAAGCTGGGCAATTGCTGGGCAAAGCACCCAAAAAATGTCTTGCAAATTTGTGAAGAGTGTTCACAGTAAAGCAGATTCACACCCACATTTGAGGTTTTCATTTAGTTTTATAATCACTGTCAATAACTTCAATGAATTATTGAGGATCTTTGGCCATTCTCAAAATTTGGTCTATCAATGTTTTTCCTAACTGTTCTTTATCTCTATGCTCTGACAAGTAATTACAGTATTGAACAATGTACAAGCTGGGCAATTGCTGGGCAAAGCACCCAAAAAATGCCTTGCAAATTTGTGAAGAGTGTTCACAGTAAAGCAGATTCACACCCACATTTGAGGTTTTCATTTAGTTTTATAACTACTGTCAATAACTTCAATGAATTATTGAGGATCTTTGGTCATTCTCAAAATTTTGGACGATCTATGTCTTTCCACAATTTTCTTGATCTTTATTTTGCTAGAGGTAATCAAAGTAATTGAAGTGTACTGGTTGAGCAATTGGGAGCAGTACTCAGCAAAATATTGAAATTAGACCAGGATTGATCAAAGTGATGTCCTGACATTTAAATTCAATTTACTTCTTTAAATAATGGCAAGAACTCTCAAATGAGCACATTTCTGTAAATTACTGTATTATGAGGCATCATTTTGTCTTTTGTTATTTCTGATGATTTTCAAGTACAGTAAAATCTCGTTACAACGAAGCAATTGGGACAAGGAAAAAATATGGTTTATTATAACAGAAAAAACCTTATGAAGACTTTTTAAAAAGATTGTGTTCATTGGGTGGAAACGTTAAAAAAAATTTTCGTTGTCAGCAACACACTTTCTTATAATGACATTCCTTGTAACGAAATTCCACTGTATTGGAAATTAATGAGAGAAACGCCATCAGGGGTTTTCAACGCGTCTTAAACTTTAATAATGAGTTGTTGATTTTATTTTTTGGCGTAATTTCAGTGGATGTCACAATTTTTTGCCAATGAAAAAAAAAATGTGGCGAAGGTTGAAACAATTTATTTATTCTAGTTTATTTTTTTCTTTCTCTTTTTTCAACAGTACAATGATGACCCAACCGTGCATTTGGTCACCAGAACCTTGATCCAACCCATCAGGAACCCTGCCCCAGTGTTTGCCAGTGATGGGTCCATGAAGCTGGGTTCTCCGGACACGTCGTCTCAGTTTGTAAGTCTGCTGAAAAATTGCGTGTTGAAATTGTGCGTATTAATGAGAGCTGGGATCATGAACGCATTTTGTGTGCCAGTTGAGGACGACATCTACCTCGAATTTTCAGCAATCCGCCTTGGTTCCTGCGGTACAGTACCTCGTTTGAATTTTCCGGTGTTGATTTTGTTTAGAAGTTTTTTTTTTGTTTTGTTTTTTGGTCGATGTGAATGTGGCAAAATAATGAGTATATAGGTCCTGTGTCCGAATAATTCACCGAAAGCACGAATGGAAATATTTGCGGAATTTTTGCCAATTGAATAATATGCGGAATAAGCAATTAAAAAATATCAACGCTGTTGCAATTAGAGTGGGTCTTGGCTTACAAACTTTTCAGTTAATTAACAAACTTTTTTTTTTTTTTTACTCAGCTGCTCTGGCTTATAAGCCACGACTTGGCTTACAAATTTTGAGTTCTCCAAATGCTCATGGGTCTAAAAAAAAAAATTCTTCTGCAAAATCTAGGGATTCATGTTTAAACTTATTCATTAATTCATCCAAGAATGTCTCAAAAGTTTATTGATCAATCCTTGATCACCAATTTTTGTATTCATTCTAATTGAGTTAAAATTCAACAGCTTTTTGGCATTAAAATTTTCCATCCCAAGTCCTTGATCTTTGAATAAGTTTGTGGTGTTACATTTGAAATTTTCAAGAAGAAATCTCTGGAGAAACTCACTTTAAAATTTCACTTCTATGGATTGTTTTACTGAAGTGAGTTTCTTGAATATTGTCTTGGGAAGATTTAATGGATTTTAGGCCTGGAAATATTTTTTTAGGATGCATTTTCTTGAATTTCATGGGCATTTTTAAGGTTCTGGAACCAATTGAAATTATTCCTTTTATTTTCTTAAGAGAAAATGTGATTTAGCTTACAAACTATTCAGCTAACAAACTTTGTTCAAGAACCTGTCAAGTTTTGTAAGCCAAGACCCCACTGTACAGTGAAATCTCTGTACAACAAAGCTCCTGGGACCTGGAAAAACCGTCCTTTTAATACATGAGCCTTTGCTAAAATTGTTGAGTTTTCAAAAAGTGTATTTTATTTCCAAACAAAAATTCTTTGTGACGAGATTTCGCTGTACAAGTGTACAGTATTTCTACTAAGGACAGTGCGTATTCGAGCTTCACTATTCCTATCACGTGTGTGGTTTTCCCCCTTGTCAATATATTTCCGCATTTGAAGCTTGTAATTACGGTACTGGTAAATTATATGCACTGTGAAAAGTCAACGTCTATCTGCACTTCAACTGAGAGGTACGAGGAATGAATAAGACCAACAAAAATAGAGATGGACTCTCTCTCTCTTTACAACAAAATTCGCGGGACCTGTTGGAAATTGAAATTAGTAAGAGGTTAAAATACAACAGGATTAGAGTGGCGCCAGGAAAACGGCAAGATACTTCGAGAAAGTTGGGGATCCGGTGGAACCAAACTCGACCTGGAGTTCCCGCGAGATTTGGGATTCTCGGGGAAATCCTTCTGAAGGATAAATGCTCAGGAACGAAAATGCCATTGAGAGGAAAATGTTTAAATAGTGAATTGTTTCTGCATTTATATATCAGTTGCTTCCGTGTTGTCTTACGCAAAAAGACTGCTTGTTGAAAATGCTACTTGAACTAATCTTAAAAACCGAAATATATCAACCTTACAATACTAGGGTGTCAAGCACCCTGGCCGTAGCCCGGCTGATCGCGTCTAAACCAGTCATTTCATCTCTGAAGAAAAAAAAAGATTAAAATCCAAAGTCGAAATTCATCATTCAAATTACTGTTTCTAACAGGACCCAAAAAAAAGAGAAAATATTTGTTGTAATGAGAAATTCGTAACACGCATCCGAAAAAAATCGTTGTAGAGAGAGTCCACCGGTATATTCTTCTTCAAATGTTGAACTTCTATGGAGAAAAGTTTTCTCGGATGAGGGACGCAGTATAAAATTGTGTAGTTGTATAGCCTGTGTATATGAGGATTGTCCCACTTTCCGCGCTTTTAGTTGTATATTTTTGACCGCTTTTAAGAAAGTTTTAATTTTCGAAATTTCCCTCTTGATGTTCTAAGCATTATTTTTTTGGCCTCTAATTTTCAAGACCTTTTTTTTTCAGTACACTTAAAATGAAATGGAAAACTTACCAGTTACTGCAAGAGTTTCCCCTTCTTTTCACTGTATGCTGAAAATATTTCATGAAGAGGTAAAAATGGAAAATTTGCTTTTGTGTGCAATATAATTGTTTTCATATTTGATGAAAATGTTCAAATCTTTTGAATGATCAGTTTCCTTGTATTCAATGAAGTGTGCGAAACTTTTTGGGGGTTGGCAATGATGACAAGGTGTTGATTTTAAATGTCCCTAATTTTTCTCACAACCCTTTGCGAAGGATAATTTTTTTTTCATTAAACTTACTTCTTCAGCAGTAGCTTTGAATTTTATATTAATCGTAAAAAAATTTAAAAAACTTAATGAACAGTGACGGTTGAATAAAAATTGCTCGTTTGATGTGAAGTTTATCCTGTTCCAACATGCGACGAAGTCTGGACTATTTTTTGTTTTGTTTTTTTGTGGATTCAATTACAGTGGGGTCTTGTATCAAGAATTTGATTGGTTATTGAACAAAGTTTCTTAGCTGAATAATTTGTAAGCCAAATCATATTTCCCTTGAAAAAGTAAAGGAATAATTTCAATTGGTTTCAGAACCTTGAAATTGCCCATGAAATTCAAGAAAATGCATCCTAAAAAATATGTTCAAGCCTAAAATCCAATAAATGTTCCCAAGACAATATACAAGAAACTCATTGCAGTAAGACAATCCATGGAAGTGAAATTTTAAAGTGAGTTTCTCCAGATGTTTCTTCTTGAAAATTTCAAATGTAACACCACAAACTTAATCACAGACCAAGGACTTAGGATGGAAAATTTTATTGCTAAAAAGCTGCTGAATTTCAACCCAATTAGAATGGATAAAAAATTGGTGATCAAGAATTGATCAATAAACTTTTGAGACATTCTTGGATGAATTAATGAATAATTTTAAACATGAATCCCTAGATTTTGCTAAAGAAACTTTTTTTAGGCTCATGAGCATTTGGAGAACTCAAAGTTTGTAAACCGAGTCATGGTTTGTTAGCCAGAGCAGGTTAGGCCAAAAACAAAAGTTTGTTAGCCAAGACCCCTTTGGACTGTACTGTACATATACGAGGGTTCTAACAAAAGTTCTCGGAGTAGCAATGAAAATGGCTTACAGTTGAGCTGAAAAAAATTTATTCTTTAGGGAAAACCTATTCTTTGGCGCACGAAAAAATATCAGCCCTGTTTGACAAATTGTTTTGAATTTTTTTTCATAATTCACCCTGGCAGAGTTTCGCTCTCCACTCAAAAGATGAGGCGCCCTTTTTTTTGTAGCCCAGCTTTCCCCTCAGAATTTTTGAAATCAACTTGGCATTCTTTCTAAGGGTTGCCTCCGGGTCATCCAAGGAAATTCCGCCATTTTCATCTACAGCCGGCTGACCCTCGTATATGTATTAGAACCCTCGTATATGTGAGAATCCTCTGGAAAGGATTGCATGAATCACTTAACATAGCCTGTGTGTGTGACGTGTACTGTACTTGTATGTTATTTAAAGCTGCTTCATTTTTTTGTTGATCAGTGCGACCTCTTTATTATTACTCCTCGAATATATAAGCCGCATTATGATTTTGCAGCTCAGCTTTTGGCCGCGTTGTTTATTCATTTTAAATATCGTGTTCCAGGTGCGGAAATCCAGCCGAACTAAACAAACAACGGACGCCAGACCGCCGTTCGTCGTCCGACGAGTCCCATCCAACATTTTCGGCGCCAGTGTGCAAACCACGACGTCTGTCAAACGAGCCCGATCCCTCACCCGCAAATCACACCACAACCATCATCATCATCATCACAATAATCATCAACATCAACAAGCATCCACGCCGGTGTATGCATCAGATTCCAAGACATCCACGAAGGCGTGTTCGAGATCATCATTGGCGAGCAAAAAGAGCGTCTTGTTTCGGAGTCGGTCGGCGGATGACGTGGCTATGCGGATGAACAAGTCCAAGTCTGCGGAGGACCTGGTTAGGATGCACGGGACGCCGCCGAATTTGACTGGCGGCGGCGGTGGTGGTGGTGGGACGAGAATGCCGCCGCATGATCGTCGCACTTGTCGCGTGTGTAACCTTTACGAGGAGTACTTTGGGGAGTGCTATCCGGGGCATAGTAACCCGAACGGTTCCTGGTGAGCATACTTGCCAATAAGAGGATCATGCATTTTGAAGAAGAAGAAAACAAAAAAGAGAGATGAATTCATAGTTTGTCAAGTGCGTGAATTAGAATTTTCAACCCGTCAGTGCCATTTTCGGTTTATTATTTTTTTATGAAGCATTATTGTATGCGTGGAATTGACGCGCGTCTTGAAATTCTTACTTGTTCTTAGCTTCATTAAAAATCTCGATACAATTAACTCCCAGGGACCTATGCAAAGTTCGTTGCATCAAAAAAATTTTCGTGATGATAGATTCATGGTTCTTGGAGCATTTATAGGACTGAAATTTGGTTCGAAACTCGTGTAATTAATTTTTTTTCAAGTGCTTCCGCAACAGATAGGCGAATATTTGTCATCATTTCCATCTCTTGTTGGTGAAATACAGTAAGAGAAAAATTGAAAAATGTTCAACACAATTCTCTTCTTTTGAATCCAACCTGCTTCTAATTTTTTTTTAAATTGTATTGATCTCATTTAAATATGAACCGAAACAACGAAAAACCGCACACTTGAAAGAAGAGCACTTTTTCATTTGAAAGCGTTGATCTAATGAAGTAGAGAAATATTTTTTTCCAAACGTACTCTTGAAAAAAATTATCCATTTCAAAATTCTAAAATGAAGCCAAAGAAATTCTCTGAATAAAATAATGCTTCTTACTATGCAATTATAAATTTTCTGGACTGAAAGAGGAGCATTTCTATGATTTGATCAATTATCTTTTGCTCCAAAAGTTGGTTTTTCCCATTTTTTGTGTCAATCTGTGAAAATTTAGACAACCTTCTATTCAAATTTTGTACTGAGAAGGAGAATGCATGTGATAATTCTTTTTTGAGAACAGGTTGTTAAAACATGGTTCCTGTTTGGAAGAACTTCTGGGAGCCGCGAAAATTTAGTTATAACCATGTCCAAGTATTTTGTAGCTGAATTTATTGCATTGAAAAATTATTGAAATTCTGTTTTGAATTGCTTCGATTTATCTCTACTGTAATATTCCTCAGAAGAAACAAGATTTTTAAAACTTGATCTTTTTCGATGAAAATCTCTGGCAGAGGCCGATTCATTCAATCCTCACTGATGAACCTGCAAATCCATTAACGCTCTCTTCCTCTCAATAATAAGAAGGGTGATTTTGAACGCAATCCGAAGAAGGAAAGCTGGAGGTTGCTTTCACGCTTTCCTTTTTTTTTGCATCCAACTCAAAAATGTTGACAAGAAAAGTATATATTTTGTTCATTTTTTTGCGCAGGTCATCGAGTGACGACGAAGCGGATGACGACTGGGGAGACAGGATCAGGACGAAAGTGACCAGTAAGGGTATCGGAGCCATGGTCTCAGACACTGGGAGCGACTGTAGTTTGTCTGTGGGCTGAAAAAAAGGACACTAAATGCATTCCCAAGTGGCATTTTTTGTGTTTTCCGCGAATTTTATAGAGCGGTAGGTGGATCTTCGAATTACCTGGAACTTTTTTGCGGGTGTTGGTCTAATTTTATCTTCTTTTTTTCCCCCTTGTATATATTGTATAAGGTAGCGTTTTTTCTGATGCGAGTTGGAGAAAATTGGGTTGAAATACGTTTTAGGTACGAGAAGTGTTACGAACAGCTGTTTCATGGTTTTGCAAGCGCAAAATTCAGTCAATCAAAACATTACGACTGAAAATCACTGTACTGTGTGTGCTGTACGATAGAACTCTGATGAATCGAACATCCAATGATGCACAGTGTAGAACAGTATTGAAACCATATGTTTCCCCGAATATCAAAAAATATCGTTTTCTTTTGTGACTATAGTTCACACTTGTTTCCTTGGATCTATACAATAAAGCATGTGTGAAACTGGCTCTTGGATTGAGGTTTTGCCGTAGAATTGAGAATTCTACGTTCAGCTAGTTTAAAGAATAAATTAGCTATTCCCGAAATATTCGAACATACCGGCATTTTTGTTCAACGAGCTGTTTTTAGGATTCGTTCGAATAATTGGAGCTGTATTGTACAGTGTTCTCGGCAGTGATGAAAGTTTGCTAAGCCGTATCCAAGTTCTGTTTTGACACTTCAGAAAGTTATCTCGATACAAATTGGAACTAGTCAATTTTTTCCCGTCTTTGTGATTCCTCGAAATACTTTTGAAATTCAAGGATGACTGAGATTTCGGTGCGGCTTTCGTCACCTGGAATATCTTTTTCGTGATTTTGATCGAGAGGTGTGTTCCTTTTTGCTAACGGTATGTCGAAATGCCCGTTCTATATCAGTGCTCTCAAAGATGGAAATTGTTCCGTCCATTTTGTCTCAATCGGAGCGGTGTTGTTTCAATTTTGTTTGGTCTCTGATGACTGTTGATCCTCAATGGATGTAAACGAGTGTTCAAAATCAACCGGAAAGGTTTTTCCTCGTCCTTCTCATGAGATATCGCATTTCGCCATAATTTAGTCTCCGTCCGCGTTGTTGCTTTCGAACAAGTGCTTTTTCTTTTGCATCGGTATATATATATATAGAAAATCAGAGTTTTAGGTCCGTATTCAGAACGAATTTAGGAAGTATGTGGTACAGTGCAGTTGCAGCTTTTGATGTACACGCGGCCAGAAGTGCACCGGAGTTACCTTAGGAAGTTACCAGATCATCTAGTCCTGAAGTGTGGTTCTGAGCGTGTTTTGGGTTATTTTGCAAATGTTGGGACTCTGCATTTGTCTGAGCATCGGATGGAGTGAAAGGAAAAGATCCGATCATCGATTTTTTCCGAAGATGTGCAGTCCTAATGTTGCAGAAAAAGCCCAGCATATTCTTTATCCCACACTGCCAACTGTTAGTTTGAATTCCATGCGTTAACATGGGAAGGTATCAATAAAAATTTCGTTTGAAAGAGAAATGGTGGTCGATTTTCATTTGCTTTTACAGTACTGGACTGTATTGGGAATCCTGTTGTGTTTTGGGCTGGGCTTCATGGAGAAAGCAGTGAGTATGCCCTAACTCACTACAGGAGGCCAGGCCTACAGGAGGGTCTGGTTTCCTGTCAAGTATTTTCCACATTCCTACCATTCTTCACTTCAGCTCATGATCATTTTTTTCAATTCAGACAATTTCAATTATTTTTGAAATGTGGATGCGCTTGGATGTTTTAGAAATTTACATGTTTTTTTCATTGTGAAATGTCAAAAAGTTGAAATTACTAATGTCAAAGAATTTTTTCTTGATTTATCTACGATTTTGAAAACAGTTTTGTGGTTTTCATTGTAACTTGGTCAATTTTTGAGCTTTTTCAAAATTTAAAAAAGGGAATTAATTGCACCTTTTATGTAAAGCACTGTTTTTGCCTGAATGCAATTCATACTACGCACTGTCATTGTTCACCCGCTGTTTTCAAAATGCAATTCATACAATGTGCTGTCCATGTTCACTCATTGTACAAATGCGCTGTTTTTGTTACGCAATTTAGAAGAGGTATTGGCATTTTTATCTGCAAAAACCCAGAATCAGATTTATTATTTTCATGTGTACATTTTTTTCCTTTCTTAATTACTGTAGATAGAAGAAGATCTCTTCAAAAAAAAAATTCGGTTGCTGAACCCCGGAATGTTTTTGTTTTCAGTAAAATCGGGGTTTGAAAATTTTCTGTTTCTGCTCACAGTTGCCAATTTTCACACGCAGGACGAAAGCTAAAAATCGTATTTCCGGTACAGTAGAGTACGACATGTTTGAGCAATAATAATGGCAGATTTGATGAACTCAAGTCGCTTCAATCAACACTTCGAATAAGAAGAAGCAAAAAAATGACAATTGCTTTATTCATGTTCATTATTGGCTCCATCACCAGGGCATATTTCAACGTAGTTTCGTAGCGAGAGACACATTTCGTAAAAACACGCCAGCATAAAAATCCCCGGGGTAAAAAGAATAAATACTGGAAGAATAAGGACACGAAGCCATGTTTTTTTTTCTTCTTCTCTCTGTGAACGCAACTGGAGCAAGAGAACGCTTCAGTATTTTTTTTTTATTCCTTCCAGTGAATTTCGAAGGATTTTTCACCACGGGGAAAAGCGGAGGGGGGCGAGTTGTTGAATAAAGGAAGAAACAAAACGTTTGCGAACGTCAGAGCTTGGCCTGCTTCACTATAAGAGGTGGAATCACTTGAGTTTGGGGGAAAGTCGAGTAGTTTTTCTTCATCCAAAAGAAAACTTCTTTGTAGAATTTCGTCCAATGGCTTGATAATTCTCGAGTTTTTTCGTTTCCATCACCGCTTCTTACTGTTGGTGAATTTCTTCGATACGGGATAGTTTTGAAAAATGAAGTCGTTTGTGTTCGTGTGCTGGATATGACGACGTTGGTTGTGATCTCGACACCAACGTCTCTGTCGAATCATTGGACGCATATCAGGTGAGCATTTCTCCATCAACAATAATAAACACAGATGGTGTGAATTTCAGAGGTTGTTTTTGGACCGAAGATTTCGCCACAGCTTTTCTGTGATTTCTGGTGTTTTTTTTTTTCTTCTCCATAAACCCTATATAAGGTGTCTTGGAAAAATTGAATACTGAAGCCACATACTTAATTGACAAAGTAACAAAAAAAGTACGGTTGCGAGTGGTTAATTTTTGTGTGTGGCAAATTTGTGTGGGATATACAGTATATGCATGTATTTCCACACAGTGACCCTTGTGCACCTGAAGTGCACCAGATTTTTGTTTCTTTTGCACATGCATATCCCAAATAATGTGCACCATTTGTGTTATCACACTTGGGATATGTCTGTATAGCCCTGTTGTACAAGTGCTGTATCTCACAGGTGTACACCTCCTGTGACTTTTATGCTTATACTGTACTACAATAGGGATACTTTTGTGACCCTCTTATTGTCTCTCCACAGAAGTAGCTGTAATGTGCACCATCTGTATGTTCATACCTGGGATATATACCTGTAACCCTGGTGTAGAATTACAATGTCTCCCATTTGAAGACCTACTGTAACTTGTATTCTATTACAACAGAATTACATGTGTGACCTACTTGTCTCTTCACAGCAGGGATATAGACCCAATGTGCACCAGCTGTGGGCTGACCCTTGGGATACATGATGCTTTTGTAACTCTAAATTGTGTAGAATTATTTGGATCACATCAGCTGCGTGCACCTATACTGTAACTTGCACAATTTGTTGCACATGAGTAGCCCTAAATGGGCATTATGATGGTATCTTGTTCATTCTAATGGGAATCTCATTTGGTATAATAAAGGGAAACATGTTCATTATACATAACAATGATCTCATATTAATGAAAATCTGGGAATAGTGAATATTTTCTTATAACAAACATTTCTCTTATAAATAAAGCTTATTATAATGGAAATTTTTGTTATACGGAATAGTTCATTATATTTAGTTATGACAGAGTATTTGTTATAACAAAAACAAATTTGTGTTATGACAAAAACAAATCTTTGTTATGACCAAAAAAATTTTTTTATGACAAAAACCATTTTTTTGACAAAAACAAATCTTTGTTATGAAAAAAAAAATTTTTATGACAAAAACAATTTGTTTTTGACAAAAACAAATTTTTCTTATAACAGATATTTTTTATTAGGAAAGTGTGTTGTATCTTGGTTTAATAAAATATTTGTTATAACAAATACTGTCACGAAGGTTTGTTATGGGAGAATATATTTATAAAAGTTGAAGAAAATATAACACAGAACTCGGTTGGGCTACAACCGGGGTGCTCGAGAACACCCTATTTTAAAGAAGATATATTCACAATTCACAAGTTTTTTCCAACAGTTTTGACAATTTCGCCAGTACTTTTCGAATGTTCCGCACAGTACGATGGTTCGAGAGACAGTGNTAAAAATTTCGTTTGAAAGAGAAATGGTGGTCGATTTTCATTTGCTTTTACAGTACTGGACTGTATTGTGAATCCTGTTGTGTTTTGGGCTGGGCTTCATGGAGAAAGCAGTGAGTATGCCCTAACTCACTACAGGAGGCCAGGCCTACAGGAGGGTCTGGTTTCCTGTCAAGTATTTTCCACATTGCTACCATTCTTCACTTCAGCTCATGATCATTTTTTTCAATTCAGACAATTTCAATTATTTTTGAAATGTGGATGCGCTTGGATGTTTTAGAAATTTACATGTTTTTTTCATTGTGAAATGTCAAAAAGTTGAAATTACTAATGTCAAAGAATTTTTTCTTGATTTATCTACGATTTTGAAAACAGTTTTGTGGTTTTCATTGTAACTTGGTCAATTTTTGAGCTTTTTCAAAATTTAAAAAAGGGAATTAATTGCACCTTTTATGTAAAGCACTGTTTTTGCCTGAATGCAATTCATACTACGCACTGTCATTGTTCACCCGCTGTTTTCAAAATGCAATTCATACAATGTGCTGTCCATGTTCACTCATTGTACAAATGCGCTGTTTTTGTTACGCAATTTAGAAGAGGTATTGGCATTTTTATCTGCAAAAACCCAGAATCAGATTTATTATTTTCATGTGTACATTTTTTTCCTTTCTTAATTACTGTAGATAGAAGAAGATCTCTTCAAAAAAAAAATTCGGTTGCTGAACCCCGGAATGTTTTTGTTTTCAGTAAAATCGGGGTTTGAAAATTTTCTGTTTCTGCTCACAGTTGCCAATTTTCACACGCAGGACGAAAGCTAAAAATCGTATTTCCGGTACAGTAGAGTACGACATGTTTGAGCAATAATAATGGCAGATTTGATGAACTCAAGTCGCTTCAATCAACACTTCGAATAAGAAGAAGCAAAAAAATGACAATTGCTTTATTCATGTTCATTATTGGCTCCATCACCAGGGCATATTTCAACGTAGTTTCGTAGCGAGAGACACATTTCGTAAAAACACGCCAGCATAAAAATCCCCGGGGTAAAAAGAATAAATACTGGAAGAATAAGGACACGAAGCCATGTTTTTTTTTCTTCTTCTCTCTGTGAACGCAACTGGAGCAAGAGAACGCTTCAGTATTTTTTTTTTATTCCTTCCAGTGAATTTCGAAGGATTTTTCACCACGGGGAAAAGCGGAGGGGGGCGAGTTGTTGAATAAAGGAAGAAACAAAACGTTTGCGAACGTCAGAGCTTGGCCTGCTTCACTATAAGAGGTGGAATCACTTGAGTTTGGGGGAAAGTCGAGTAGTTTTTCTTCATCCAAAAGAAAACTTCTTTGTAGAATTTCGTCCAATGGCTTGATAATTCTCGAGTTTTTTCGTTTCCATCACCGCTTCTTACTGTTGGTGAATTTCTTCGATACGGGATAGTTTTGAAAAATGAAGTCGTTTGTGTTCGTGTGCTGGATATGACGACGTTGGTTGTGATCTCGACACCAACGTCTCTGTCGAATCATTGGACGCATATCAGGTGAGCATTTCTCCATCAACAATAATAAACACAGATGGTGTGAATTTCAGAGGTTGTGTTTGGACCGAAGATTTCGCCACAGCTTTTCTGTGATTTCTGGTGTTTTTTTTTCTTCTCCATAAACCCTATAAGGTGTCTTGGAAAAATTGAATACTGAAGCCACATACTTAATTGACAAAGTAACAAAAAAAGTACGGTTGCGAGTGGTTAATTTTTGTGTGTGGCAAATTTTTGTGGGATATACAGTATATGCATGTATTTCCACACAGTGACCCTGCTGTGCACCTGAAGTGCACCAGATTTTTGTTTCTTTTGCACATGCATATCCCAAATGATGTGCACCATTTGTGTCATCACACTTGGGATATATGTCTGTATAGCCCTGTTGTACAAGTGCTGTATATCTCCCAGGTGTACACCTCCTGTAACTTTTATGCTTATAATATACAATAAGGATACTTTTGTGACCCTCTTATTGTCTCTCCACAGAAGTAGCTGTAATGTGCACCATCTGTATGTTCATACCTGGGATATATACCTGTAACCCTGGTGTAGAACACTACAGTGTCTCCCATTTGAAGACCTATACTGTAACTTGTATTCTATTACAACAGAGTTACATGTGTGACCTTCTTGTCTCTTCACAGCAGGGATAGACCCAATGTGCACCATCTGTGGGCTTACCCTTGGGATACATGATGCTTTTGTAACTCTGAATTGTGTAGAATTATTTGGATCACAGCTGTGCACCTACTGCTGTAACTGGCACAATTTGTTGCACATGAGTAGCCCTAAATGGGCATTATGTTATCTTGTTCATTCTATTGGGAATCTCATTTGGTATAATAAAGGGAAACATGCTCATTACATAACAATGATCTCATTTTATTGAAAATCTGGGAATAGTGAATATTTTCTTATAACAAACATTTTTCTTATAAAGAAAGCTCATTATAATGGAAATTTTTCTTATAAGGAATAGTTCATTATATTTAGTTATGACAGAGTATTTGTTATAACAAAAACAAATTTTTGTTATGACAAAAACAAATCTTTGTTATGACAAAAAAATTTTTATGACAAAAACAATTTTTTTTTACAAAAACAAATTTTTCTTATAACAGACATTTTTGTTATTAGGAAAGTGTGTTGTATCTTGGTTTAATAAAATATTTGTTATAACAAATACTTTTAAGACAAGAAGCCAACATTTGTTGCAACAAAAATTAATTATAACAAAAATTTGTTACAACAAAAATTAATTATAACAAAAATTTGTTACAACAAAAATTCTTTTTAACAGAATACTAGTTTTAAAAATTCTTTATAACAAATAATCTGTTATAAAAAATTTTTTTTGGATATAAAAAATTTTTGTTAAAACAGACATTTTGTTATAAAAAATGTTTGTTATTACAGAAATTTGTGATAACAGAAATTTTTTATAACCAAACAAAAATTTGTTATAACAATAAATAACGGATTTTTGTTATAAAATAAATTTTGTTATAATGAATTTTTTATAACAGCAATTTGTTATACCAACAAATTATACTATATTATATATTGTTTGGTTATAACAAATTGCTGTTATAACAAAAATTCTGTTATAACGAAATTTATTTTATAACAAAAATTCGTTATTATTTGTTACAACGAATTTTCGTTATAACAGAAATTCTTTATAATCAAACAAAAATGCATTATAACAATTAAATAACGAGTTTTCATTATAAAATAAATTTCGTTACGAAAAATTTTATTACAACAGCAATTTGTTATAAGTTTATAACCAAACAAAAATAACAGAAATTTTTTATAACCAAAGCTAAATTTGTTATAACAAAAAAACGAATTTTTGTTATAAAATAAATTTCGTTATAACGAATTTGTGTTATAACAGCAATTTGTTATAACCAAGCAATTTGTATACAGAGTATACAACTCTTGATAATAAAGAAAAGACAGGATTTTGGTGCTAAAAACCTGTGAAACACGTGCATTTCAATCAATTTTTCAACTCGCTTCATCATCACTGCAACAAAAAACTATAAACAGTAAAACGTGTATATGTGCTTTAAATATGCAATTCAACACAGTTATATGATCAAATGGATGCTATAACCTTCTTATTGGGAAATATATTCAAGAAAGGCAAATCTCATCTTTGAATCATATTTTGTCATTTGCCAGGCTTTTCAACAATGGAATCCCATCAGCAGCCTTTGAAGCATGATGATGCAGAGCAGTCCAAAGAAGCTTTTTTCCCCAGTTTCCTGATGGTGCCCATCTTGAGACTGGTGCCCTGTGGTGGTAATTTCAGCTGTTGGGCTGTCCTTGGTGGTGGACCCAGCAGTGGTGGAGGTGGTTGTTGCTGGGAATGCATCCTCACACACCACACCAGGCAGGCTACAAACTTGATCCTTGTGCTTTGTGTATAGGCAAATGATGAACCAATAATTGCTGAGTTTATGGTTGAACTGTCAGGAATGTAGTTTTTGGCAAGGGCTGCCAAGTAATTGACTCCATTTGTCCCGCATATACCACTAGCTATGGCTGATCCCCAGCCCACCTTTTTGTTTTGCAATTCAAAAAGAAGAAGCCAAATGAAATTAAAATGCATTCAAGATGAAAGAATATGATTAAGTCACCAGTGAACAATTGTTGGTAGACATGTCTGGACCAGCCAACAGACAGGAGACAGTGCTTGGGTCCAAAG